TAAAATAATGGCAGAGCAACAAATCTGAAGAGGAAGGGGATGAGTTAGAGGTACCTGTGAGATACTCAAATGTGAATAACTTGGACCTAAAGTATCTGGACCTAAAGATTCTGGAGATCAGCCTAGTTTGAATGTAGGGATTTGAGTTTTTAGCAAATAGGTATGGCGACAAATCAATATGGTAGCATATAGTTATGGAAATCTGGAGTAGGTAAGCTCAGTTAGAGATAATACATGGTATGAGAAGACGAGAGGGCCCTAAGAGAGATCAGTATTTTGGAAAAGAGTAGTGAAAAGCTGGAAAATAATAAGGTTAACAGTAAAAATAGTTAACATTTGTTGAGTTGCTTACATGCTTAGGCATTACAGTTAATTAAGCATGTTTTATAATACCCAATTTACTCCTAACAAACTTCTGAATACTACTATTCATATTTTAGAAAGAAATTGGGGCATATGGAGGTTAAATAACTTGTCCAATGTTACCCAGAAGAATGTGAAGCTAACTGGTCTGACTCCAAAGCCCACACCCTTAACCAAAACACAAAATTGCCTCTTTGAGGAAAAAGGAGATCTAGAAGGAACAACCAAGTCTTCTCTCTCAAGTTCATCTTGCTGTCTTAAAATGTAGGTTATTATTCAGGTGTGGTGAGGCCAACAGATTAGGAGACAACTGCCATTGAAAAGATAGTTTGTTACACTCATAGATCCTCAGAAGGGGGCAGGCCATGCTGGAGGGGAGGGCACATGGGCAGCACCAGGTTGTCCTCATCTCAAATTATCCCCCTTTCACTGGTGGCTTTAGTCCCTTGAATCTAGAAACACAAATTTTGAAACCCCCTCCCCCCAACTCCACCCCGCCCATGAATATATTTTGAAGAGTGTCAACTCCTTCAAACCTTCATAGAACTGGTATTCTTATGATCTACAGGCTCCATGATTTTTCTTTTGACTCATCCTTAAGAGAGTTCTGTATTTATTAGACTTGGGTTAACAAAGTAACAATTAGGAATAATTCAGGCAGAAACCAGAGGGAAATTTTCAGATATAAAATGCAAAGAAGAAGAATCAAAAGGCAGATCAATTTAGAAATCTAGTTACCAATGGTGAAAGAGCCATATAGCAGGCATTAATATGAACAAGATCACAAACAAAATAAAGCAAGTATTCCAGTGCTGCAGTTTCCCACAGGCTATGGGGTTCATAGGTAGTGGGAATCTGGAAATGGCCCTTGACCTGCTCCCCCCTCTACAGCAGAGTTTACCTCTGGTTTAGAGATGCCAGCAGAGGCAGCTAATTCTGTTTGATACTACCCAGATGCAATTTTTTTTTTAATCACAGGAGGATATCAGTATAGGTTCTCATCTGTTTGGTTAACCCCTTCCCCACCATATCTTTCCCAAACAACAGCAGCAGTGAGCATGTGTCAGGCACTGCTCTAAGCATTTTTACAGACTAACTCATCTCATCTTTGCAATAACCTTATGAGCCAGAACTCATTTAAGATAAGAGGAAACTAAAAGCATGGAAAGACCAAGTAACTTGGCCTCGGACATGTCGTAAATGATAGAGCCAGGATTTGAACTTAGGCAGCTGAGCAAGAGCCAAATCTGTTATTTTCTCTGCTACAATGCAAAAAACTTAGAGTAAATAAGTTCATTAACTTAGTATAATATAGTATTTTGTATAATTTGTATATTTTTAAAAATAGAAGCTGGACTTGTAATTTTAAAATCATTTAACAGATTAAGTTAGAAAATTCACAACAGGTCAACATGTCTTCTGAGAATATCTACATTTATTCCCAGTCATTTATATTTCAGATGACCTATAATCCATATGTATTTGCCTCAGATTACACAAGCCTAGAAATTGGCTGCAAAGAATCTTGGGACTAAAAAAACACTAATACTCTATTCTTACAAATTACTTTCAAGTTCAGCTCATTGGGTTTAAAAAATAACTCTTATGCATGCATACAAGTCTTTTGGTTGCTCTCTAACCTTCCCCCTCCCCCTACCATTTGTCTCTGGATCTATTCTTGTTCATCAAATTATGTTGATCATTATATTCCACATATGAGTGAGATCATGTGATATTTATCTTTCTCTGACTGGCTTATTTCACTTAGCATAATGCTTTCCAGTTCCATCCATGCTGTTGCAAATGGTAAAAGTTCCTTCTTCTTTATAGTGGTATTATATATATATTTCTTCTAATTAATTTTTTGTCAATGTGCATGAATCTGTGCTGCACTGGACCACTAGTGTAGGATATAAAACTGAATCTCATGAACACAAAAGCAGTGTGGTGATTGCCAGAGGGATAGGGGTGGGGGGAGAAAGAGGTCCTAATATAAGGTGACAGGAGATTTGACTTTGGATTGTGGGCACACAGTGTAATATACAGATCTTGTAAACATAGAAACCCGCACCTGAAACCTAGATGTTCATGTTGACCAATATCACCCAATCACTGTAATAAATAAATATTAATATTAAAAAGAAAAAAATAACTTATGACACGGGAGAGAAAATATGGCTCACATATGATAAAATTGATTTAATTTACAATAAACCCATATAAAAAATAAGAAAAAGATTTTAAAAACTGTAAAATGAACAAAGGGTATAAACAGGCAGTTCAAAGGAAAAAAACATACATACCTTAATCAATAAAGAAATTGAAAAAAAAGAATAAAGACAAGATCATAAAATTTTTCCTAAAAACTGCTTATCTACAAAAAACAAACAAAAAAACATGTTGGACTTTAACCTTGATTGAAGACATGCAAATTAAAGATAATTTTATCTGGTAGTTGGCAATAATTAAGAAGTTTGATCATATTTAATTTTGCCAAGGGTATGAGGAAATAGATACTTCATACACTATTAGTGGGAATATAGCTATGAAAACATAAATGTATGCATCTACTGAACTAGCAATTCTACTATGCATTTGTTCTATGGGTATAACTCTAGAAGTCAGCTAAATGTACATATGAGAATACTGACTACTATAATCATTTAAGAACCCATTTACATTTTAAAAAGTCAAATTATACATTTCTATGTGTATTAGACATATATTTGCATATATGTATATATGAATATAATTATAATGAAATGATCTGGAAGAAAACTGATTACAGTAGTTACTTGCGAGGAGAAAAGTGAAAGAAATTGGGGAAGGAAAGGGGGATTAAGGGAGGGCTGATGCTTTCCCTGTATTTGACTTTAAAAAAATATATATATATATTTTATTGATATTTTCAGAAAGGAAGGGAGAGGGATAGAGTTAGAAACATCGATGAGAGAGAAACATCTATCAGCTGCCTCCTGCAAACCCCCTACTGGGGATGTGCCCGTAACCAAGGTACATGCCCTTGACTGGAATCAAACCTGGGACCCTTCAATCCGCAGGCTGACGCTCTATCCACTGAGCCAAACCGGTTAGGGCTGTATTTGACTTTTTACAATGAGAATATATTTATGTTATTTATGTGGAAAAAGGTACCCAGCATAAGGCAGATCTTTAAAAAAAAAAGTTGTTGAATTGTTAGTTTAGCAGATTAATTAGAATGGTCCGCTGTACTTTTCTCTTTCAAAACTAATGAACTCCCTAGCCCAGCAGCTCAGTTGGTTAGAGTGTTGTCCTGATATGCCAAAGTTTCAAGTTCAAGTCCTGGTCACAGCACATACAAAAATCAACCAATGAATGCATAAATGAGTGGAACAACAAATCTCTCTCTCTTTCTTTCTCTCTCTCTCTTTAAAAAAAAACCCCACACCCACTAATGATCTACTCAACTATTACACAATTCCTTGATTTAAAATGTATTATATCAAAGCCATACTATTAGGTCTTGAAAAATGCTAACTATTGTCAGATGCCAGGTGATATTTGATCTCTGCAAGTGTATATTTAAACACAAAAAGCAATAGGAAACTAGAGATAGCTACTAACTGAAGGAAGAAGGCAAGAAACATTGGCACAGAAACCTGAAATTGTAGAATGTTGTTAATGAAGACTTCACACCTATATAAATCTGTGCTTATTTAGAAGCCTTTGACTGTCATTCCCTTGTTAACAGAATTTATCAAATTACTTAGTTAACTTTTCTTTAAATGTTTGTAAAAATTTTAATTCTTTCAGAAAAAAAGTACTGAACTTTAAGTTATATATTTTTAAAATTTCCACCATTCCAATAGAACTTCTAAAAGATTTTTTATTCAAAACAAAATATTTAAGAAAAAAGATATCTGTAATTAATTAATAATTAGATTTGATAGGAATACTTGCCTGGAAACATTTATTAGCTACCAAAATATTTTTTAAAATATTTTCTCTTCAGTTATAGCTTAAAGCTACAAATCTAAATGCAATTATCACATATAGAACATCATTAAAAAATATGACTGAAAAGGATGAACTCCTGTTGTCAATTCCTATTTTCTTATTTCTTTCCAGGCTAATTGCAGAACATCAGAAAATAAGCTGATGAGGAAGACTGTCATTACCAAATTATACAAGGTAGCTATTTTCTCTATTTGTAAAGAATCAGCTTTCAATATATACCAGTAAAGCGCTAAAACTGTCATAATTAACAAAATCCTACAAAGGAAAAGAAATTTCCCCATTACTATTAATGACATTGCCAATATGCTGTTTCTACGTAGTTTTCATTTCTCTTTAATCAGTATACAATCAGAAAGTATAATTTGAAAGCAACCACTTATTGTCTTCCACCCTCCCCACCTTAAACCTTAATATAATAAAAATAGTACCTTGCAATGTACAAGATATTACAAAATAATAGGAGACACTTTTCGTAGCCTGCCCATCTCAACATAACTTCTAAATTATTATTCCAAAAGCCCCAAATCCAAGTGTGAATTGTTCCTCAATATCAGCAAAGCAAAATCTAATCATAGAATTCAAAAAGATTAAGTAGGCTAAAAGGGTCCATAAAAATTAGTTCAACTAATTAAACTACTCACAGACAGCATAGTTCTAATTTCTCCAATTGACCTAGATGAAAAATTTACTGCCTCTTGCCCATGTTCTTTGATCCGTACACGTCTTTCTTTGACGGTTCCCACTTGTTTCTCCAGAACTATACTAGAAAATGGCCACTGAACTGGAGGGCGTGTCTTCATCATTACTAAGCATTTTCCTATCAGAAGCAGCTCTTTGAAAAACCTGAACATTTTCTTCAGTGCCACTCAGTATTACTCAGTAAATGCAGAAAAAGTAATAGGGAAAATGGTTTTTTAAAAAAATGCCTTTAAGAGGATATTACTTAATATTTGTGTTTACATAAAAGTTTTGAAAACCAGGAGCAGGTATGACATATAAATTCATAAATTTTCCTGACTACAGGCTTCTGATATTTCCAACAGAAATGCATCTCATCCAATTAATTTTATATAGAATGTTATAAACAACAAAACATTAAAAAAGTAACATTTTTTCTATATAATAATACAAATGTACTTAATTACAATATAGAGTCCAAAACAAAATAAATTGGAAGATGAAGAGATGCAAAGGGAGAAAGTTGATTTATATAGATTATACACTCAACTGACTGAAAATGAAGAACAGCAGAGACGTGGTCTTAACTAAGGGAATAGAAGATAGCAATAATGGATTGAGCTCTCCCTACCAATATCTGGTTAATCAACTGGCATATATTGGGGACTTACTGAATGCAGAGCAAAAGCAAGGTGAGAAATTAAAACTACCATTTTAAAGTGCTTTAGAAAAAAAAAATAGAGCCAGGTCAGACACATTGGCAAAATGTTGGGTGTGAGAAGAGCATGTAATAAACTTTAAAATGAGGTTTGGATATTAGTATATCACATCCAACCTTCTTTTCTTTTTTCCTTATTCCTAATAATAATAATGTAGAGACAGAATTAGTGATTCTGTTAAGAGATAAAGCAGAGAATCTGTAAGGAAAAGTAAAAAAAAACCCACACAGGGCAAAGTAGATGTACACTGAAGTAGGAAATCCACTTTAATAAAGGTGTTAAAGACATACTAATGGTTATGAATTAATGAGCAAAATCCCAACAATAAACTATAGGTAGCCAGATTCAGTCAGCTAAAAACACTACAATGTGGCCCTAGCTGGTTTGGCTGGGTGCATAGAGCGTCAGCCTTCGGACTGAGGGTCCCAGGTTCAATTCCAGTCAAGGGCACATGCCGGGTTGTAAGCCCATTTCCCAATGTGGGCCCGGTCCCCAAGGGGGTGCAGGCAGCGTCCGATCGATGATTCTCTCTCATCATTGATGTTTCTATCTCTCTCTCCCTCTCGTTCCTCTTTGAAATTAATAAAAAATATATTTTAAAAATAAAAACAGTACAATGTAGATTTAAAAATAAAGGACGTCCTCAACTTTGTTATTTAAAATAAAAACTACTGAACATTTTGATCTGTCATAGTGGGAATAACAACAGGTCTCAATCTACAATAATAAAAGGGTAATATGCTAATTAGACCAGATGTCTTCTGGACGTCATTCCGGACTTCCTTCCTGACGAAGCCAGGGCTGGAGGGAAGCCAGCCGAGGCCCCAGGTGCCTGCTGGCAGATGAAGGAGGGAAGCTGGTGCCGGCAGCCAGGGGAAGGAAGGCCTCCTCTTGCATGAATTTTTGTGCATTGGGCCTCTAGCTATATAAGCAATAATCTAAAAATCCAGAGGCAATGAAGTCAGTACACTGTCTAACACTGCTGCTGTGGAGTACATTGAGCTGTGGGCCTGTTCTCCTAAATCCTTATGCCATGATTTGCTTCTGGAAACACGGGGAACAAACCCCTGGTACAGAACCAAGAAAACTAAAATTTAGGCAGGGTGTCTGATCTAAACACAGACTGTAAATGAGCGGAATTTCTCCCTGTATTTCCTAATTAATGGAAGCCTCTAAGGGCCTACTCTAACTCAACTTACCAGATTTGAAAATAATTTCATACTAAATGATGATCTGGTATAACTCCTTCATATAAAAAATGGGAAGCTAACTTTAAATAAATTAAATGATTCAATCAAGATACCCTTACTAATTAATGCCTTTCCACAAGGCTTTTAAAAAATGAAAGTCTTTATATCTATATATATAAAAGCCGAAGCAACCATTTGACCATTAGCTATAACACGCACTGACCACCAGGGTTCAGATGCTCAACGCACGGGCATGGAAACATGGAACAGACTGATGAATCTCAGAGGAAAGTGGGGAGGGCGGGAAGAGATTAACCCAAGATCTTATATGCATACTAGAGGCCTGGTGTATGCACCAGTGGGGTCCCTCAGCCTGGCCTGTGGGGATCGGGCTGAAATCAGCATGGAAGGAAGGAAGGAAGGAAGGAAGGAAGACGGCGGGAGGGAGGGAGGGAGGGAAAGGAAAGGAAAGGAATAGAAATAACTTAGGCTGAGTATCACCCCTGCCCCCTGCCAAAATGGAATGCAGCTGGAAAAAAAAAAATAAAGAAATATATAGGGGCAAAAAAACACACAAACAAAAAAACCCAACAAATTTATGCTTGCATATCTAGTGATAAACTAGCTTTGGTCTTAATGGTCAGTTTATATCAATCGGGCATGGAAACATGGAACAGACTGATGAATCTCAGAGGAAAGTAGGGAGGGTGGGAAGAGATTAACCCAAGATCTTATATGCATACTAGAGGCCTGGTGTATGCACCAGTGGGGTCCCTCAGCCTGGCCTGTGGGGATCGGGCTGAAATCAGCAGTCCAACATCCTCCTAGGAGTCCTGGATTGCGAAAGGGTGCAGGCCAGGCTGAGGGACTCTACTAGTGCACGAATCTGTGCACCGGGCTTCTAGTAACTGTATAAGAGAGCAAGATAAAATGTTAAAATCTAAACTGGAACTCTGAAGATATGTGAAGAAACCAAAATGGAAGAAACAAGATGACCCAGACAAAAAAAAGTGAAGACTTGTTTCCCAAGATATTTTTTTATAATTCATGTTATAAAACAAATTTATGAGATCAACCAAAGGACTTGCATGCATGCATATAAACATATCAATGGACACAGACACTAGGGGGCGAGGGCATGAGCAGGGGTGGTGTTTGGGGGTAATAGGAGGATAAAGACACATATGTAAATACCTTAATCAATAAAGAAAAAAAAAAAAGTGTGCACAG